ACTGCGACAGAAAAAAAGACGAAGAACAACTAAGAAGACCACATTTTTCCAGGATACATTTGCAGCCACTTAACACCCAAGGCTAATCTCCTTAACACTGCAATCTAGACAGAGATGGTCCAGACTGCAAAAGGTTGGAACTCGCAGTACAACTCACTGAAGCTGAGAGACTAACCTAAGGCTGGTGTCAGAGTCCGCGATCCGTCATGCGATTCGCGCGACGGATAACAGAAGTCACACCCCAATCAATACTGCGAGGTGCTCTCCAATCCCGCCGCCATTTCTGCTTGATGGTGATGGTTGAATGACGACTGTTCATGATTCTACTTGTTTCATATTCAGTGTTTCAAATGTTCAAATGGGGCACTTGCGATTTTTTGCGATTCGCGTGAACTGCGTTACGGTCGCGAACTATGACACCATCCTTCAGTCCATATCTCGAAGTCACATTAGGTGTGTTTGTGAATTTGACGTGGCCGTCGTCGCACTTGATAGAAGTCGTGTGAATAAGCTGTTTCTAACATACTCCTTGGATATCAGCAAAGCATGCTGGAAGCAAATTATCCGCGCAACTTCCATCAATGCGGAGGCCGCCACTTCATACCCATAGACACCCCTAACCTGACATATGGAGTATAACAATTAGATGCAACCGTTAGCAACACGCAGACGGAAATGCGTTAGTTTTTCGCTCAAAAGTTGCAACAGGACCATACGATGATCAAACCCCAGGTATGGGCACATGCTAAAGCCTAGTTAGACGCCTACGAGCAAACTAGGAAGGTCCTAATCAGGGGCGACTCGACCTACTAGGACGCGATGTAACCCTTCTAAATTTGAATTTGACTCGGATCCAAAATGAATTCACCTCAATGGAGTACAGCCAAATGTTCTTGAAGGTTTACGATGAGTACGCGGATTTTAGTTTGATGAGAGCGCTCTCGAAAGTCAAATGCCTAGTGGCAATGCTAATATGTGTACACAAAATAATGTTGTGTTGCGTAACTCTCAGCAAGAGTCGTAGAAACGCTCATTCCGCAGAACCTCAGACTTTCTTAGTGGTGCTTACATTTTACCGTCAGTTCAACTTCGTAGCAGTGTGAAATCCTACATGTACCAGAAAAGGAACTAACGAAAAACTAACAGACAAATGTAGCTTCTTCAATAGATTTCTTGATACGAGGCATCCAATAACGGAAGTTCCGCTCGTCCACTTCAATAGCCGCCATTCATGAAATTGCCCCTTAATGCTCAGATGCAGATGCACAGCATATCAGTTGATATACTCAGTTCCTCTACAAACAAGGAAAGAACAGTTTAGTGTTCGAAGAAGCACAAGCCAAAACTCTTCACATGCCAAGAGATATATACATTTAACCAAACAGACAATCTTAAATCTCAACAACGAATATGTCAACAGTAACAAGTAATTCTAAGCACACAAATTTTAGCACTCATAACAATGGAACTTCACGTCTTTATTTTCTTGATCTTTTTCTTTAATTTCTCCACATCCAATGCCTTCAGCACCTTGACCCGCCCTACACGGAGCCGCCATCTTCGCCCATCATGACTTTGACGGCGAAAACACTCTTCCACAACCTAACCACTACTCGGATAACTCACTAAAGGTTGACTGATCTTAATGCACAATTAAAAGCCTCCCCAATTGAAACAAACAATTATACTCTAGGCACTATTTCACCAATAGCACGAGATTAACGACTCATATAATTCTAAAGCCTCACTACAGTGCGCGAATTATAATCAAAAGTCAAAAAAAAAACCAACGCCATAAAAACATAAAACTAAACGACCGAAATACAACCCAAATACAATACAAAAAACTCACCCCCCACAACCAACCAGCAAAACACCCACACCACCAAACCAAACACACCAAGACCCAAAACAAAAAACATTAAATAGTAAGAAATTACAACAATCATTCTCATGCCACAAAACTTCATTGAAATTCAGGTGTATACGGACAAATACCAATCTCAACTCTTATTACTTCAGGACAAAACTGATTCCTAAACATTACTAATAATAAAGAACAACACCCATTATAATACCCCTTCCAAAAGCTACAAGCACCACTGCCATCGCTATACCAGAGAAAAAGTGACCAGGAAACATACAATACAGCCGTCGATTCCCTTCTTACTAGAACTCAAGGTTTTATTCAGACCCACACCGAGCCATGTAAAACTAATCTCAACCGGACTTCAGACCGCATTACCGCGGGATGCAGGTGTCGACACCGTCTCGAATGGCGTCTGAGGTCCCCTCCCCCCCACCGACTCCACCCTCGTACCAGCCTATTACATACAGCTTACACACATAGTCGACAATCGATACCCCACGTTTTTATAAACTCTCATTGCGACTTCTGGACCCTAGACATCAAACATGCCCCATATACTCCAATACAACCTGATTTGTTGACGTAAACCAGGTGTCAAGAACTTGCACTCCGCTCTCGATGGATGGTCCTACACTAGTGCATAACAGATAGAGACATTCAGCGCGAGACACTTATACACACAGGAAAAAGAAGACATGCAAAGCGAATACAAAAGGCATCTGATTCTCGCACTGACAGGTTGCCATGCTACACGACACGAAAGGACACACGCAAAACAAGCGCGAGAACTCGACGATAAAATCGCCAGCCCAAAGCGACACCACCGCAACCGCCACAACCAGAGAACTTTCTCTCTAAACTACACACGAGATCTTTGCCTACAAAATCGCTCTATACCAAAGTATGATGACCACCCGGACCGTCCCTATATATGATAAGCACTACATACAAAACCACCACGAAACTAATGAAACAGCCCAACAGCCATATACTAAAGACGAAACAAAAACCAGCCTTTGCGCGCTTCGAACTGGACCGTGTGTCAGAATGTTGTCAACGCGAGCAGTAACGACTCCAGCCAGTTGTCGAAAGTCGTAGCCGAACACACTTCAAACTCGGTACTCGACCCCGACACAATTTGTCTTACCTCAGAACTAACCTTAAAGAAGAGTACGGGTACGTCCTCTCCAGGCTTATCGCTAAGGTTAGAAAAAAGAAAAGAAAAAAAAAAAAAAAAAAAAAAAAAAGAAAAAAAAAAAGAAAAAAAAAAAAAAAAAAAAAAGAAAAAAGAGAAAAAAAAAAAAAAGAAAAAAGAAAAAAAAAGGAAAAAAGAAAAAAAAAAAAAAAAGAAAAAGAAAAAAAAAAGAAAAAAAAAAGAAAAAAAAAAAAAAAAAAAAAAAAAAAAAAAAAAAAAAAAAAAAAAAAAAAAAAAAAAAAAAAAAAAAAAAAAAAAAAAAAAAAAAAAAAAAAAAAAAAAAAAAAAAAAAAAAAAAAAAAAAAAAAAAAAAAAAAAAAAAAAAAAAAAAAAAAAAAAAAAAAAAAAAAAAAAAAAAAAAAAAAAAAAAAAAAAAAAAAAAAAAAAAAAAAAAAAAAAAAAAAAAAAAAAAAAAAAAAAAAAAAAAAAAAAAAAAAAAAAAAAAAAAAAAAAAAAAAAAAAAAAAAAAAAAAAAAAAAAAAAAAAAAAAAAAAAAAAAAAAAAAAAAAAAAAAAAAAAAAAAAAAAAAAAAAAAAAAAAAAAAAAAAAAAAAAAAAAAAAAAAAAAAAAAAAAAAAAAAAAAAAAAAAAAAAAAAAAAAAAAAAAAAAAAAAAAAAAAAAAAAAAAAAAAAAAAAAAAAAAAAAAAAAAAAAAAAAAAAAAAAAAAAAAAAAAAAAAAAAAAAAAAAAAAAAAAAAAAAAAAAAAAAAAAAAAAAAAAAAAAAAAAAAAAAAAAAAAAAAAAAAAAAAAAAAAAAAAAAAAAAAAAAAAAAAAAAAAAAAAAAAAAAAAAAAAAAAAAAAAAAAAAAAAAAAAAAAAAAAAAAAAAAAAAAAAAAAAAAAAAAAAAAAAAAAAAAAAAAAAAAAAAAAAAAAAAAAAAAAAAAAAAAAAAAAAAAAAAAAAAAAAAAAAAAAAAAAAAAAAAAAAAAAAAAAAAAAAAAAAAAAAAAAAAAAAAAAAAAAAAAAAAAAAAAAAAAAAAAAAAAAAAAAAAAAAAAAAAAAAAAAAAAAAAAAAAAAAAAAAAAAAAAAAAAAAAAAAAAAAAAAAAAAAAAAAAAAAAAAAAAAAAAAAAAAAAAAAAAAAAAAAAAAAAAAAAAAAAAAAAAAAAAGAAAAAAAGAAAAAAAAAAAAGAGAAAAAAGAAGAAAAGAAACAGAGGA